TTCTGTCTAATTCTCTCACAGGCTAAATCCTATAGATCAGGGCTTCCCTAACTGTACGTCGCGACGCCCTGGGGTGTCGCAGCTCTATCCCAGGGGCGTCGCAGCTCTATCCCAGGAACGTCGTGAGGCGTCTACAGATTGGCTGTGTCGATGCGACCGAGTCGAATGAGCGCCGCGCCGCATAGGCCGCGCGCATTCTGATTTAGTGTTCCTTAAAAGCGGGTACACATTGGGCGCTTTGAAACGCGCGATTTTCTAACGCGCGTTTTGAGATCCAAGTCCCTATTGAAGCGTACACATGCAAGCGCGCGCTTCTGATCAAGCGCGCGTTGGACGCGCGCTCTCAGAATTTCGTTGGAACGCGCGTTGCCCGGGCGTCAGCTGCGCGCTTGTAGATACATGCACCACCATTTTGCTGTACATTTGATCGCGCGCTTTCGTGTAGGGTGCACGTATATCATGGAGATCGAACACTTCGATACAGATTTATTTATCGACGAAATCCAAAAGCGTCCAGCTATATGGGACATGCAAAGTCCAGATTATAAAAATAAAATATTAAAAAAACGTAATTGGGAGGAAATAGTTGAAAATTTTAGTGACTGTGAAGACAATTTGGAAAAGAAAAAACTATTGGGTGAGTATAATTATTTATTGATGTTTTCTATAATTATATCATGTTGTTTTGCCACTGTAATTTTCCCTCGTTCACAAAATAATTAGCAAATTTTTATCTTGCTGTTCTAGCACATAAGCTACCTCGTGGTAAATTTTCTAAATGTATAGATTGTAGAGGTGAAACATAAAGTGTATCTTCATATCTATAACCATCGCGCATTCGAACGTAATTATGTAGTACTGTGCAAGCTTTGATGATACTCTCCGCGAAATCTATGTTTACATCTATCGGTCTATGAAATATTCGCCATTTATTGCTCATTATTCCGAAAGTACATTCAATATAGCGCCTTGCTCTCGATAATCTGTAATTGAAAACTTTTTTGTGTGTGTGAGTTGTGTTCCTCCATACGGCCGCATCACATTCGACATAATTCCAAATGCTTCATCGCCGACGAACACATGAGGCAATGGAGTTCTATCGATATTTGATATAGGCTTGGGGTTAGGAATGTTTAACTTATTATTCACAATCCGTTTAAAAAATTGGGAATTTTTAAAAATAGCAGAATCACTGGTTTTGCCATAGGATCCGACATCAACGTATACAAAACAATAATTTGCATCACAAACTGCTAGTAAGACTGATGAGAAGTATGTTTTATAATTGTAAAAAAGCGACCCTGTATGTTCTGGTTGTATTAGCTCAATATGTTTCCCGTCAATCGCACCAATACAATTTGGGAAGTTAGCGTATTTCTTAAAACACTTCTGAGAGGGATTTAGAGCAAGGAAGTCTCCGCCGCGCTGAACCAATGCGTGTTGTCGGACTTCACATATCTTAGAATTGTATTTTTTAGACATGCAAGTTTCCTCACGATGTTTTCCTTCACCGCCGAGCACGTGGTAAATCAGCACTTAGAATTGCAATTAACAATTTCATTCGTACCGGCGGGGATCGTACCCAGTTTGCTCGCGTACTGGAGTGTATGTCAAGGCCAAAAATCGTAAATCCATTGATTCTGCGCCTGCTCTCTCTCCGATCGTGTCAGGTTGCCGTCCCATCGGACTTTGAGAGTGAGGGAATAGAGAGTACACCTGTGTTTGCGCACCCAGTCGTGTACTATAATCCCGTCCTGGGCAGATGGCCAGTATCCATAGAAATTAGCTAAAGGACCTTAAAATTACGGTCGCATTTTGACCTCTCGACGAAATAAAATATTAAAAATCCTAAAATTACTCTTTTTATATGAGAGGGGGTAAACGAGCATACGGCTCACCTGATGGTAAGTGACTACCGCCGCCCATGAACAACTGCAACATTAGGGGAATTGCAGATGCGTTGTCGGCCTTTTAAAAATGAGGTAGACTCTTTATTCTTGAAAGTCCCTAAGTAGTATCGGTCCGGAAAAATTGCCGGTGGTATTCAATTCCACAAAGAAGTTGTGCGAGGAAGAAAACTTCTTTTAAATCGCACAGTAGTGAACCGCCAACCGACCGTGAGTCAAACGGATTAGAAAGAGTTCAGTCGTCGAGGATTCGAACCGCTCTACGCTGGATGCGATCAAATGGGAGGAGCTAGCACTGGGGAGCCCCGGCCCAGAGATGGGAACAGTATTCGCCTTGTAAAGTTGCAGACGGTGTGCCGGCATGAAATACTGTCCCGCTCTGCTAAGCTCGCCAAGCTTTTTAGAGGTCAATTTGGCCTTTTCGTCCAAGTGACCACGAAACTGCACGTCATTCGATATGTCGGAGATACGACAAAGGGGTTCTTTCTAGCGGTAAACGCGCAAACTTGTATCTTCTGGAGATTGAACTGGACTAGATTTATATTATACTAGCTTTTTGCCCGCGGCTTCGCTCGCGTGCGCTTGAATTTAGAAATATCATTAAATGCTGTTCCGTGCCAAATTTAGAAAAATTCGATCAATTTTAGTCACCTCGGTCTCTATGTCTGTCAAAGATCTTTTTTCATTCTAAAATACTATTAGACATAGATGATTGGTAACATGCTACAGAAACACGTGAATATATACTTATGTCTATAAACGACTACTATTTTTTATATCGGGCGTGTCTTCCGATGTATCCATAAGAAAGGTAAATAGTCTTGAAATCAAAATGTATTATTATTATTTACATTTTATACATTTTACTCTTTACGTTTATTCTTTATATATTTATCAAAGTTAATTTAGTTTTAACAAAGTAATATAATGTCTATTTGAGACATTTTATTCATATCATTGGTCCTATTCAATATTGATTGGCACCATAAAATAGATGTAGATATTTCTTTACTTGGAGTAGACTTGAAAATTTCATAAATACAGTTCTATAATAATGAATACTACACATGGATTAAAACTAACGTTACGGGTTTTTTACGCATCTTGGATAAAAGTTCCGAGTAAAAGAACATATTATCGTTGATGTGAAGCACCGAAGCTCCGGAAAGTCTAAAGTATGTCAACATATTTAGTATCAACCCAACCATTATATCGGATCTGATAGAACAACCGATACCAACTCTAGAACACGCGTCCTCAGCACAATTGGCTGGATTCCGTCAGGCCCACTCGACTTGTGGATGTCCAGGGAGAGGAGTGATTTGCGTACTAAGCACTGTATGAATCGCACATCAGGCATAAATCATTACACATAGAAATTAGTAAATTGGTTCAATGTTAATAATTTGCATTTAAATGGCACTAAAACTAAAATGTATGAAATTCGTGACTCCAAATGTCAAACAATTAAATACTAATGTAATTTTAAATGGGGAGAAACTGAGTCTTGTAGATACCACCATTTTCCTTGGAATCACACTAGACGCAAAGCTTCAATGGAGCCCCCATATATCAAAACTAGCAAGCAGAATTAGTTCTGCAGCATACGCTGTAAAAAAGATTAGAAGTCTTACCAGTGTTAAAACAACAAGACTAGTTTAGCTATTTTCATAGCATAATGTCGTATGGTATTTTATTATGGGGACACGCAGCTGACACTGAAATTATATTTGTTTTACAGAAGGGGGCCATAAGAGCAATTTATGATTTAAGGCATAAAGAGTCGCTGCGACAAAAATTTAAGGAAATTAATATATTAACCTTGGCCTCTCAATACATTTATGAAAATGTAATGTACGTACACAAAAATAAAAGTAGTTTTACAAAAATAAGTGATGTTCACTCTGTAAATACTAGGAACATACAAAAGTCAGTAATTCATTCTTGGGGGCGATGTATACGCTTTTACAACAAAATTCCAGAAAATATACAAAGTTTGACCTGCTAAAAGTTCAAAAACTTTATTAAACTAAGTTTGTATAAGAAGGGTTATTATAATATTAAAGAATTTATAGATGATAATAACCCCTGGAAATGAGGTGATGATCGCTACCAAGCTATTTCTGATTTGTTGTGTTGTTAATTCGTGTAACATACATGATTCCCCGGTTGAAGTCCCGCTGGGTTTCTTGCTGGTTCTTCCCAGGACAGAGGTTTTTTTTTCGAACCAGTGGTAATTAAACAAAAGTGTGACTTTCAATAAGTATTATTCATAATCTATATTGAATAAAAAAGTTTCTGTTTCTGTTTCTGTTACACCGCGGGATGGTCGGCGGTGTGTTACCCCATCATAAGCCTAAAAGGCCGGCTTTCCTTTTGCGGCGTGGGCCTCGTCCTTCCTGTACAGAGATGGTAGTGATGGCTTACATAAATTCCCTTGGACAGCCTTGGCAAGAGACCAGAATGCAGAGGTTCCCAAAGGAAGGCGAACTAATTTCTCGCCAATTCTGCCAATGTGCTCATATTTTGCCTTGGAAATAACTCTTTTGAAGGACTTGGAGGGGAAGTTATACTTCTTTTTAAGCATGCTGGTGTTTACACCCGAGCCACCGAAGCGTCAGCCCAGGCCTGATAACACTCCTGCTTACTGTGTAATGCAGTCTTACAGGAGTGACCAAATCGAGGCTGAGATCTGCCTCCGATAGGTACCACAGATGATGGAATAAATAGTTCCATTCCATGTATCACCACATCAAAGACAGAGTCAGCAACAGCGCTGGGATCATCCGGCGAGAAGCAAACCATGGGCAGGATGCAAAGAAAGACCGCATTCCGTCCCAGTCCGCCGACCTGTAATGCCAAACACGGCGGCAGCGTGCAGAACGCAACCGCGAAGGGAGCGTGAGTGGCATCACACTCCAGATAAGACAATGGTCTGAAGAGCTGAAAGGGGAGTCGACGGAAACCTGATATCCGTACGGATGAGAGGTCAGCAGAAGGTCCAACAGGGAAGGTGTATGTGTATATGAATATATCCTCCACATCTGGAATCCGCATAGGCGAAGTAACCAGTTTTTTATTTTTTTTTTATTTAAATATAATACGTTACCTCCACACTAGGATTTTCTCCTGTATCGTGAAGGCAGTTTACAAACACAAATTGCTCAAGGACATGCATCCAGACCCAGAACAATTATTTGTAGGCCATAGAAATACTTGTTCCGTGCGGGATTAAAAACCCGCGGCCCCAAACGCAGCAAGTAATTGCTAAGCCACTGCGCCATGGAGCCATTGTGTCAGACCATATGCCAATCGGCGTGGTGAGCGTTAAAATCGCCAAGTATCATGATGTCTACAGATGGGACCTGTTGTAACAAGAAATTGTAGCCGTTTGGATGTGGTCGATAAGTCGGTTTGTGTAGACATTACCGCTATGGGACCTATGGAGGCACCTGTAGACGCGGGGATGGTCGTCGCTGTCTACGCGCAGCCAAAGGATGGACAGATCCGTATCTTCAAGACTGCCGAGGTGTCGAGAACACATATCCTCTCTGACGTATACGCAAAAACTCCAGTACAGGGCACAAAGAAGTGTTGGTAGGGGGGGGCCTCCACCCACCTGCACTAACCAAGCGAAACGCAGAAGCAAAGCTTCTACTTCACGTTAGTATTCTGTGAGATCGTGGTACTTTCCCAGTTCGAGCCAGCCCATCCGTGCAACAGCAGAAGCTGCCGCATAGCTCTACCACTGTTGAAACTACTACAGGACTCTTCCTATTTGAATTATAAAATTATAACAAATAGTGTAGTAAACCAAAATAAAACAAAAACAAATTCAAGAATTATTTTTATTACTATAACTTTTAAAAGTAATTTTAAAAGTTATATTAAATTATTAAATTTTTTCACAGCTATAGTTAAAATGACAATGAAATAAGGCTTTTTATAATAAAATAAAGTCTACTTTACATACTTTTCCATGAACTTTTTGTGAAACTCTGACCTTAAGGAATCATTTATGAATGTATTTAATTTTTTTTCTGGCTCGGAACGGGCACAATTTTTGAACACAACATCATCATCCCATCGTCTTTTAACCTATAAGAATATGAAATATTTTAAAACTTATTTCAGAATTATATCATTATATCTTAATATGTTTTAACTATATCTTAAAAGTATATGGAATCTAGATTAATAAAAAATCATTACATAACATATCATTCAGATTACCTTTAAATCATTTTTCTGTCCAGCCGCTGAGTAGTTTAATAATGGATTTCCTGAAAGTATATTTTCCATTCGAATTCTCTCTTCTTCTTGTTTCTTTTCAGCATCCTATAAAATAAAAACCTTTTTTACAATTTTTTACCGCATGGTGAGTAAATGCTCATCTTTCAAGATACACAACAGCTGGCTCTCATCTTTTAAAATTCATTGATAACACCCCACATGCAGCTTTTTTTTTTTGGAGTTTATGGCCTGGTATCTAGACCTTTAGGCCAAGTCTTAAGTATTTTTATTCGGTTTATTATAATTTCCCCAAATGTATAATTATCCTTCATAGTTCACTGCTTCACAATATGTTGATGCGTCACATTGTGCAGCCCTTGGGAGATTTTGACGGCAACTTGAGCCAGCAGACAGCTGACAGTTGGCGATGGTATCTAAAGGCGCATATGTAGACAAACAGCTTATCTTGAGAATCCATCACCATCAGAGCACTTGTTTCACCGTTTCCACTAATAGTTCACATGCGTAGACAGTTAATACACAAAATCGCACCACTTTTACATATCAAAGTCCACTTCAAACCATTATTTAAACAATAACACAGGAGCAGCAAACCGACGCCGGTCAAGTTCCCGCCAAAACTCCCACATGCAGCTTTATTATTTATACTACACAGAGCAATTACAATCGTGATATTTCTTTCACTACTCTGCCCGAATAAATAAGTTGGGTACTTAGAAGAAATAAGCCTATCTGCTCTCAAGTGCCTATATTCTTTTTGGTAAATACTATGGCAAATATCCTGTCTATGAGGCAATCTATATTATGTGAGGTTGATGTTCAGACTGGACTTCCAATAGGCTATAATGAATGATGAATAAGGGAAATATATTTATATTAAATAATATGCAAAATAATCTTTTATTTGTATCAAAAATCCAACATCATTACAAAAGAGTGTGCACAGGAATTGTAAAAATTAATTCCTCCCTCCGCCTTCCACCATTGACAACCAGACGTTCTGCCATTCTCCACCCTTTCGTTGTAGACTTACCACGCATTTGCATTATACAGATGGTGCCAACGTACTGCTTGGCGCTGTATGCAAAAAAGTAGATTAAGTTAACACTATCTGTCTTGCCATCCAATTACAATGTGGTTGTCTTCATGGCAAGTGTAAATAGGTTTTATGTTAAGTCAGTGTGCTTTACCATCTTAGGCTACATCACCACTTACCATCAGGTGGGATTGTAGTTAAGCTCTGACTTAGAATAGTAAAAAGAAGCATTAAGAATATATACTGATATTACTCAAGTTCATTCTTTGATACAAAAATGTTATATTTTTATATCAAATGAATTATGTATCTATCGTTAGTATACCTTTTTTGCCTGTTCTATTGCCCGTTCCTTCTTTATTTTATTTAACTCTGCTAACAAAGCTGCAGTGTCATCATCAGAGTCATCAGAATCTGTAGAATCGCCTTCTAATGGATCATCTGCATCTAAACTTGCTGCTGGAACTTGATCTATTTTTAACCTTTTTACAGGAGGCTCATTTTGTCTTCTGGCTATAGGTGCTTTGCTTTCTTTTTCCCTCTCATCTAACTCTTTACGGAAGTCTCGTGAACGAAGTTCCTCAGTAGTGCCTTGGCCTTGTTCTCTTTAAAAATAATATATTTTAATTATAAGAACTGCATTTAAAAATATAATTAATTAAAAGAGTAAACACTAGAGCTTTGGTATGAGAGATCTTTTGGAGAGGAAATTTGTCTACAACTGATTGTAATTGTCAGCAAAGCAAAGGTTGATGTACTCGGCAGTAATATTGGTGCCATATCCTTTCCAGGCCAGTAGTATAAATACAACTACTAGTTTTTCCCACGAGTATGTCTATAGAACTTTAACAAAACAAACTGCAGATCTATAATTATGGTCTTTGGGCAAGTGGTTCAGTGATTGAAAAACCACTTCAAACTCAGCTTTTTGCTTTTATCTCGAAAATTATGGGTGAAAAGGAATCACTTTTTAGACGAAAAATGTTATCTTTTAACACTCATAGTTTTGTTGTAAACAGTGTTTAAGCTCAAAATTATAAAAATTGATTTTGCGTCAAAACTCTAAGAGATAGAAGTTTAAAAGTTATTTTTGTGTATAAGTAACCAATTTTTATAACTTTAATAATTTTGTAGATAATCTTCAAAAACCATTTATTTGCATGAGTGCAACGGCCACCTTAAAACAGTTTTAATCACCGTGTCTTTAATAAAATATAGTTACAAGTAAGGAACAAGAAAGTTTTTCAATATCATACCTATTTGGGAGCCGTGGTAGCTCAGATGGTTAGTGCTCGCTCTAACTTTCACAGTACATGAGCAAACTGGGTTCTATCCCCGCCGGCACCAATGAAATAGGTAATTGCAATTTTAAGTGCTGATTTACCACATGCTCGGCGGTGAAGGAAAACATAGTGAGGAAACCTGCATGTCTGAGAAATAAGAAAAAAATATTTTTCAAAGAATAGTGTCGTTCGCCAACACACACTGGGGTTTGTGGCAACGTGTCAGACACTTCATTGCCCTAAAAAACCTTCTCAGAAATGAGGGGAGGCCTATGCCAAGCAGTGGTACGTATATAGGCTGTACCTTTATACCTATTTGTTAACTTATCACCTTAAAGGCTAGTGTTGCTTTTTTGTCAACAAAATTTGTCATATTTGAGTTAATATAATATCTAAGGTATAACTTCAAGTCTGACTTTACTTGTAATCCGTTGTTAATATGTTAACGTAATACTGATAAATAATATCATTAAACGTACTCACCTATATTTTAATTTAGTATGTCCTGGGAGATCCCGACTAGAATATTGACGTGATATTGCACTTAAATCTTTTTCACCACGTCCTTGACCACCTCGAGCTGGATCAAATGTTGGCCTAGCAGCAGTCGTCATATTGTAGAGCTGTTAACAAAATTAACACCCAAATAATCTCAAAGTAAGAAATATTCTTACCCTACCACTACACGGTTTATGTACTCTTACCTTACTCTAAATCTTTAATGATTATGATTATAATTGCTAAAGATTATATAAATCACTACTTTTACTAACTCCTAAACACAAATAACATTTATCAATATCACAACAAAAATAAGCGTAGTTCAAACTTCACATTTCACAAACTTCACAAACAAAGAGTATAATAACTGTCCTATACAGGAAAAGATAGGCCACTCGTGCGTAATCTGTCAAACGAGGAGTACTAGCGCCGTCTGGTGTCGTTTCGCCACAATATTGTGGCAATGTGTGCGTGCGTATAACACATACACCTCTACAAATACACCTCTGTTCATGGTCATTCATTACGCTTTACGACTTTATGTACTAGGATTAATTATCAACAACCAACTGTGAATTAAACATTTCAAACATTTTTTAAAGATAACTGCATAGTAACTAAATGCTTCAAATATTTAATTTAACAGTCGGTTGTTAATAATTAATCCTAATACATAAAGTGTGATTCATAATTTGTAAATAGGAATTAACTATGATATTTTTAACATGAATGAAATTAAACACAAATAATTGGTACAATATTCTATATTTTTTGAACTTAATGAAAATAAAGGAGATAGATAAAGATTTAACATAATTTTGACAATACAACATTTAAAACTAATATTTTTATTGTAATGTTTATATCATTAAAAGATTAATAACACAGACAGTGTCTATACAAAAATAGTAAATTTTATTATTTTTATAAATGAATGAGTTTATTATAATAAATGAATCATAACAAACTTTTTACAAAATGTTAAGCTAATACCATAACGGTAAACTGAAACGGCTATGAATCAATCCAAAGCTGTAACCACGCTTGGCAAGTGGGTTGGCAACTGCAGTTATTAGGAAGATCAGTCCACCTGCTGATGTGTTTCCCTCTGTCGCCTCTTACGATGACATCCACGGGATGATAATATGGGGTTGTGGATATTCTGAGACCGTCACTACACGGTAATCTAATATTTTTTTACAATAAATGCTTCGTAAACACAGATTTATTATAACAAAATATAAAACTAATGTCTTTATAACATATTATTATTTATAACATATAACAATAAATTTTCACAAACAAAAATAATATTTTTTACAATAAATTATTCATAAACACAGCTTTGATATAACAAAATATAAAACTGAAAAAATATTAAATGCCTTGGCATATGGTCTGACACAACTGGTTACTTCGCCTACGCGGATTCCAGATGTGGAGGATCATACACCTTCCCTGTTGGACCTTCTGCTGACCTCTCATCCGGACGGATATTAGGTTTCCGTCGATGCCCCTCTCGGCTCTTCGCACCGATGATTGGCGGTCCACCACTGTGAAGCGAAGAAGTGAAGAAGATGTTTTCTTCCTCGCACAACTTCCTTATGGAATCGATTACCACCAGCGATTTTTCCGGACCGATACGACTTAGGGACCTTCAAGAAAACAGCCTACTCCTTTTTAAAAAGCCGGCAACGCATCTGCAATTCCCCTGGTGTTGCAGTTGTTCACGGGCGGCGGTAGTCACTTACCATCAGGTGAGCCGCATGGTCGTTTGTCTCCTATAAAAAAAAACAACTAATGTCTCTAACGATAAATTTTCACAAGACGAAATATGAAAATAACATTTTTTACAATAAATGATTCATAAACACAACTTTGATAGTACAAAATAAGAAATATTTTTATAATAACCCTGCCCCCTCTATTGTATATATAAAATGGCCATCTATAAAATATAACTATATTAAAATGAATAATATACGTGATCAGATAATCAATATATTGATCTTTCTAAAGGTCTAGATATAGGCTGTTATTCATTATTAATTAATACCTTCCCGCTTGGAAAACAAAGTACCTTTATTTATTTTTTAAACTGGCTTTACGGCTCTGGGTTCTAGCCCTTCTGAGAAAGTACCTTTATATATACTGAAAGCATAGTAAGCTATAAAGTATGCTCTTAGTAGTGATGAGTCAACTCAAGTTGCGTTGCGCTTAAATCGAGTTTACTCAAGTTGAATCTCCCTACCTCGAGTTTGGGCTGCTGTACATAAATGGATCAAGTGAGTCAGCAAAAGAGTAAGAGCGCGATTCGTTCGTTGTGTACGCACTTTGTGTTCAAAACAATTTGTTATTTAGAATTTTATAATAGCTAAGTTATGTTATTTAATTTCTTTTAAAATTTTGATTAATTATGTTCAATACAGTTATGTACGTCACAACCCTATTATTATTTTAAACCTATTGTACTACCCGAAAATGGTAGTAAGTTGTAAGATACATCATATTTTAAATTAACGCCAAATGTAACACTAAACTTACAATAAATATTTAGAATTGGAATTTATTTAAGAATGTGATAATTAAATTATTAATAGCTTATGAACCTACACCTTAAAGCTAGACTTATATTGTTAAGTGAAGACTGCTATACGTATTAAATATACCTTTTTATTTCAATCCTACATAATAGGTTTGTTAATTATAATTATCCCAACCTACCAAAGAGCTAGACAGAAAAACAAGTTTATAAAAAAAGAATTTGTAAGAAATCATTTAATCTGTTTCATACTGCTAACTCGAGTTCAATCTCGAGTTGCGTGAATTTCAACTTGAGTTAACTCGAGTCATGATTTTTCCGAGTTAGCCCATCCCTACCTCTTAGCAGTCTGTGCAATTATGTTGTAGTCATAGATAAATAGAAGTTTTGGCAGGAACTTCACCGGCAGCGGATCGTTGCTCCTGTATTATTCTTTAAATAATAGTTTGAAGTGGAATTTGATATGTAAAAGTGGTGCGATTTTGTGTATTAAGTGTCTGCGCATGTGAACTATTAGTGGAAACGGTGAAACAAGTGCTCTGATGGTGATGTGATTCTCAAGATAAGGTGTTTGTCTGCTTAGGCGCCTTGAGATAACATCGCCAACTGTCAGCTGTCTGCTGGCTCAAGTTGCTGTCAAAAAGTCCTAAGGGCTGCACAATGTGACGCATCAACATTTTGTAAAGCAGTGTACTATGAAGGATAATTATACATTGTAACTTCAGGCTCAGAAGGACTAGAACCCAGAGCCGTAAAGCCAGTTATAAAAAAAATCATAGTCATAGACAAAGAGAATATAACCACTACGTTTAGTCATAGATAAATAAATATCGTAGATAGAGGATTGACTAGATAAAGCATTCGCGTATGCTTTTGAGATAGAAATAGGCGGGAGGTACTTTCACTGGGTTACCAGATTATTTAATTTCTACCAGATATTGTTCCATTTCCCCCGTTATGGGTTTATTTATATTCACAGCACTTACATTCATACAAAAAACTTAACTGTTACCATAAAAAAATGTTCTTTTATAATTCAGATGATTAATTAATTTCTCTTGAAAATACATTCTGTGACAAAAACTACGGATGGAAAACGGTGTAAAAACAGAATCATCATTCTGTATTCAACGGCGCATCGACGATTTTACTGGACATTCAATAAACTCTTTGGATTTCGACGGCACTAAGTGAAGGCGCTAATAGCACAAAGTGTGATATCGCTAATAAATAACAATATGTTATGTATGTACTTAAATATTAATTGGGAATAAAAATATTAAATAATAAACAAACATTTCCTTTTTGTTTATTATTTAAAATTGTTGTTTTTACAAAAAAAAAATCAATAATGTTTTAACATACCATTCCATCACAAGTTCAATGCTGAACACAGACCTTCGAAAGGATAGGGTTTCCACTTAGGTTTTGTAGTACAAATCACGGTTATGAGCCCACTCCCGCGATTTCCTGCATGTTTTGCTAAGTAAGTGTCTTGTGTGCGGCAAGTTGTGGCGTACAAGAGAATTTGTCTGTACACGGGATGATATTACCCCGCGTCGTAAGCAATAATACAAGATGGGGATGGGGCAGCAGCACTTTCCCGATGAAAACTTAAAATAATAAAAAACTGCGGTGGCCAACTATATAACAACAAATATTTTCACGCAGGCGTGGCAACTATGGCAAGTCATCCTATGAGGATATCTAGGGAAGGCCTTTTTAGGTGACTTACTTATGGTTAGGTGGCTTAATCATGTTACTTAATGGTTAAGGTGGTAAAATGTTTTAGTTAATATACGTTGTAAAGCATCAACAAAGGATTTTTTTTTTTGTAATATGTTGGTATATAAAATAAAAACGAATATTTTATAATATTCTATTTTAATTTACCATGCAGTGTAAGATTATCTGCTACCTTTTATCATTCGATGGGTGGTGTATGAGGCGACATAGCGAAACATCAAAGAAGATAAACAGCAGCATTGTCCTGATAACAGCTAAATAATGGTTGACAACCCGCTTTCCAAGCGTTGAAACTATGCCAAATAACTATAATAATGTTTATGTTCAACAGTGGACTTTTGATAGACTGTAAAGATATATATTCTATTTAAATGAAAATATATTATAATAAATTTAAAAAGGAAATAGAACTAAATTTTGTGTACTTACACAACATTTAGAAATATTAACAATGTTACATTAAGTAAAACAAATGAAATCCCAATTATATATTAAATATAATTCAATGAAATTAAAATAAACAAACGATTATTTATTAATTTTTTATCACATTAATAAACAACAAATTTAACAAAATTTTTGTCTTCTTTCTAGAGCATTCGTTGTAATTCTTGGTTTGAGTAGCCTTAGAATTTCTCAAAAATATGCATTTGTAAACTTGATTTATACTTTTGCATGGCAGAAATTCTTGAGTGCTGGTCGTTAGAATCAGATTAGAAGGGAGTGTATATATATATATATATATATATATATATATATATATATATATATATATATATATATATATATAGATAGATAGGTAATACTTATCTCTTGTCAAAAATATCTTTATTACATTATTTTTATGGCAATTATTTAGAAATTATCATAATTATTACATTTATTTCTTAATTTACTTACACATTAATGTTTATAACACCTTTATAAAAGGGATTAAGGGTGGACTAAATGTCCCATTGGTAGGCATTCCCAGTCAGTTTTACAATTATTATTGCATAATAAATTATTTATTTGTATATTTAGGTCAGGCCTTTAAATTATTTATTTATTTTATATAAATC